ATGTTTCTTGCCCGCCAGGTAACCATGGTAATCACGTGACTGCAAAGTATGAATAAATGGGAAAAACCAGTAAACTCACAGATATTTTTCACTGTGTGGCAAGCAAAGCCTTTAACTAGAGAATGCCTGGCTGCAAGTAAAAAGAAAAAACAAACATCACTATGACCCTTTTAACAACGTTAATGAAAAATTCCCTGATCTTTTCTTTAGCATCACAATCAGTGCAAATTTCCACTTGTACAAAACACAATAAATAAGAACAGGAAATCAAACTTACTGTGAAAATGAATTTGCTGTAGACCACATTGGCTTTACAGTAACTTAACATGGCTTGTTGAATTCTTCTGAATTTGTGTTGTGCTATGTGCTGGTCCAGAGCTCCAGTGAGAATGGCAGCAGATGGGCGTCCAGCCCCAGAGATGGTGCCCCTAGCTGGGATTACCGCCCCAGGTCTACCTAGCTACAATGAGGCTCTGACCCGCATTGGGCAGCACGATGCTCCGCCACCTCCATATTCAGGGTAAGTGGATGCTCCAATATGCACATGCACCTTACATGGATGCAGGCCAGTGTCTGTAGCAGTCCAAGATCCAGCCAAACACCTACAAAAAGAATACAAGTGTGGACCTTACATTTTTTTATTTTATCACCACTACTGTATGCACACTGTATTTACCTTGCTAACTTTGTATCAAAGAAACACCTTTTGTAGCACGTTTATTTCAATTAACGAGAAGCACCTTGATGTTCCAGACAACCATTATCTACACACCATGTTACACACCATGTTACACCATCAAACATAGAAATATCATCATCATGGTTTTCTTTCTTCTTTTGTTTTTGGTAAAACTGTCAAGTCATCTATTATATCTATAATAAATCTATAGTAATATTGTAAATTGTCTTAAAAATGGAAATCAACACGATTGAATGATCTATTGTGGTCACATTTCAGTCATAGGCTTAATTTCAGTAAATAAAATGAATGGCTTGAATAGCTAAGTCATTCATAACAATAAGGTTAAATATTACAGCAGCAGTTATGTAATGTACAACTCAAAAATCACAACCACCTTAACTTTTCTTGCGTTGATGAATTGTACTCATTTTGCAGTTCCCATTCAGTATTTTCTATTTTCATTTTTTTGTCTGTTGTATTCTCTGGATCTTCAGATGCATTGTCTCTTCCATTTATGTGTATTTGATTAAATTGTAATTAAGGGGGGTTTATATTCAGACTCCATTTTGATGTTGCGCCTTAAGGAGTTACATTCCAACCAAATACTCATCTCTTTTTGAACAAAAACACTCACTGTTGGACCCTCATAGACCGTGCTGCTGGGTACAAGAACTCTCACACAGATCTTTCCTCTCTCTGACCACAGGGGTGCGCCATCGGAGAGTGCTGATCCAGGAGACAACGAATGAGAGGGCTGGCATAGCCTCTTCATTATGCTTGATGGGCACTGGTGGTTTGAGTGAACTTTGAAATATTGAATTATTTTTTGATATACTGTATTTATGAGTGAAGTTGGGACAGGTTGATCTGCGTATTACTGTCTATTACTGATTGTTGAGGGTGGGTACCATGTTTGTGGTTGCACTGTTCACACAACAATAGACAATCCATTCATTCTACGTGTTTTATACAATAAATCACATACGATCACACATGGCTTGAGTCCTTTTATTTATCTATTGGAACTTTTCAAGTCAGTAGGGAGTACACACTGCTGTCACCATATCATTCATTTTTATATGTTGCAACTTGTGTGTTTGTTATTTATTATAGAATTACAGCTGGCTTCAGAAGGTGAGCTCTTTCACCAGAGTCTACTGTCTTCCACAATGCTACACCACACTGCGCTGCTGTGCATGACAAATTGTGCGTGAGTGTGTGTGTGTGTGTGTGTGTGAGCGAGGGAGGGAAGGAGAGGATGAACGCCAGCCCAGTCATTCCTCTTAAAAATGGCGTCTTGTGAACAAAAGGAGCGAAAATAGCTTTAGTGAGCCGTGTGTGAGCGGCAGGAGGACAGCAGTCGGCGCTGGATCAGTGTGAACACAGCCTCGCTTATTAAAGAACGTAGAGCATCTGTTCTACGGCCCATCCGCTTCACACAGGAGACAATAGACAGTGAAATATAAGGGGAGAGGAGAGGAGAGGAGGGAGGAGGTGCTCTTGGCTGCTGTGACCCCCTCCCCTCCTCCTTCTCTCGCTCCTTCTCCTCCCTCCATTCCTCCCAGTCTAAAGGCTCGTCAAGCGGAGAAATAAACAGAAGCGAGCGCAGAGAAGAGAAGACATTCCTCCCTCCCCTCCCCCCTTGCTATCTGCCCATCTTCATCCCTTTCTTTCATGGAGAGGAATTACCCCGCTGCAGGCTTTGGAGATCTAGGGGCTGGGACGGGATGGAGTTACGACAGATCGGCCAAAGCAAGGTAAGCCTCGGTGGGCAACTGTATGCTCCTCTGGGTGCACCAGTGTGCTTAACAATGCCACGGGCATAGCGCTGCCTGCGCCTGCATTCAGCCAGGCTGCACGGTGCTCCTACACGGCCACCAGTCTCAGGTACAGCCAGCCGTATTGTCATTCGGAGGAGGGGAGGGGAGGGGTATGGGGGCTGTCTCCAAAATGCATGGAATGCGATGGAAGGTTAATAGTGATACGGAGACAGAGGAGAGGGAAGGGGGATGGGTTGCTTGAAGCCGAGTCTGTTATTTAAAAAAAAAAATAGAAAGAAAGAAAGATCACATGTAGGTTCCAGCACTGCATTGTCCCTGCTGCAGCTTTGTCTTGCTTCTGACTTAACGTGACAGGAGCACCCGCAGGTTGGTTGGCAAGGTTGATTGGTACACTACTAATTGGCTACAAATCAAAGCAGTGCAATGTGCACAGTTGCTGTCTAGCTGTCTAGCAAAGGAAAACAAGCCCTGCATTCTATGAGATATATGAAATATGAAACAAAAAACTGATAATGAAGCGAAATACAGAGCATTGTGTTTAATTAATTAAGTTTATATAAAAGAGTTGATCCTCAAACAGCACTGTTCCGGGAGATAATGACAGCACCTGCATTCACACACTCAGTGACTGTGGGATATGGCTGATGATGCTGTGAATGAACTTGTTGGCTCCAACATCAAAGGTGACGTTCTCCTTATTAGTAAACATTACTTTACAACAGTGGCACATAACAGACAAACGTGCCCCGGCTGTCATACGTCACCTAATTAAAGTTATCTGTAAATAACGCTGATATTAAGTTAATATTAGCCAGCACCATGTTAACATTAGGTAACTTTCAGTTCAGTCAGATTATACATTCAGCTAACGGTACCTTCTCCAGTGTCTGACAGTGAACACATCTGTGCGGCAGGCAGCTGTGGCTTGTGTTCCATCAAACTGGCACCTCTGTGAGGCTGTACAGCAACCGTTAGCAAACATGCTAATGTCCACTAATATAGGAAACGCCGTCTTCAGTGCTAGCAAACTATAACATTCAGCCCGTGTCGGTGATTCTGAGCTTTCACTGTTATAAATGACACATTACACGTCAGTGTTCTGTTTTACAATTGCGGCCTCGAGCCATGCTAAAGTTAGCTAGCTCCTGTTAGCTTTGCTCCCCAGTTAGCGGTCGCCTTGACAACCACTTAGTCTTTCGTCAGACTCCATGAGTTCCATCTCTGGAACAGATAGGGTTAGTTGCATGCATGATGCTTTTCTTTACACTACACAAACGTACGTATGAGAACACGTTCACATGTACAGTAGTTGATCTCACTGCCTCATGCTGCTCTGGTTGAAAGTGAGAGCTGATGCTGTTAATAATAATAATAATGTGCATATTCCTGCTTCACACAGCCCAGGCTGCAGTCACCTGCCACTATACCAGAGTATCCAAGGTGACGGAAAAAAAGATTCTGTTAGTCATAATAATGAGAACGTTTCTCAGTATTTTGACATAGTATCTCAAAATATTGAGACATCATTATTGTTAACACAGCAACAACAAAAAACAGTTCTGACTCTTCAAATGTTAATTTATTTTTTCTAGTAAAGTACATAAAAAATCTTCAAAATACTTTGTCTTTCATACAACATAAAGCCTGTCAAACATATAATAATAATATAATATATAATTAATTATTATTATGGACCGATAATTTATCAGCTATAGTTTAATTATCAGAATAATACATAATATAAATTTCCCATTATAAACAAATCATTTATTGGCCCCAATAACTATCGTGCATCTCTATTTTGAAGCTTTAGAGGGTGTTCTATTGTTTAATTGTTTTTATAGTTGGCATTCATGTGCTGCAGTTGAACTTGAAGTTATTTAAGGTAGTTGTGTGAGCCATGTCCTGTTCCTGGAAGAAAATAGAACAGTTGAAGTAAAGCAGATGACATACATTGCCTATAGCAGGAAAAGAATGGATGGAGCAGGCAGTATATTCATAACAGTAAAAAAGAATTATGGAAACAGATTGACTGTCCTAGTGATATATTTATTGGAAATTTTTATATTATATTCAATTAATAACAATAACAGGAAAGAACAACTGATAAACAATGAATCCAAATAGTGAACCCAATAACTCCAGGAAGTTTGTGTAAAACTGATTATTTCCTGTGAATATTGGAGATGAGTTTCCCTGATTTTCTGTATTATGTATTAATTTGATTTTTAACAATCTTCAACTTCAGTGCTTTCTTCTCCCCGATGCTTGACCATTGTTCTAATAGCTGTTAGGTTATTTTAAAGGTCCAGTGTGGAGTATTTAGCGGCATCTAGCGATGTGGATGCAGTTTGCGACTCAGTAGTTTCACCCTCCCCTCCCTATCTAGAGTTTGGTTTATCTGTACTGGGAAACTATAGAAATATGGCGGTTCAACATGGCGACCTCCACAGAAGGCGACCTGTGGTTAAGGCTGCTCAATTAATCGAA